TCTCTCTCTCTCTCACATAAACAAGTAGCTCCATCATTAGTAATAAGTAAACTCCACTTTTCAATGCAATAACCACTATTAATTATTAATATTGGGATAATCACAAAACATTTATTGTTAATAAATTTATTATTATAAAATATAATAAGTTATAACTAGGGAAACCAGAAAATGAGTCATATAATATGCAGACTATATAAAAACCATGAATTAGTCAGAGATTCATAGCACAACTAATGCTTTAAAATAAACAAATAGTTGTAATAGTCATTATTGTGCTTAAAACTATGAAAAAGCATCCAAAAAGCATCCGAACGGTTTGCCTAGTTATAACTTATACCAAATAAAATTATAAATATCGTGATTCAAAAATATTGTTATAATGTTTTTTATATGTTTTTATAAAACAATGTTATCATAAAGTGTGTGAAATTATTTTCTTGCGCGAAACATAAGTTCATAAAAAACTGAATTATCATTAGATTTAAGTTTATTTAACACTTCATTAAAATTCTTGTTATTATTGACAACAGTCTTATCAATGGACCACTCGTTATGTTTGGCCAACACTTCCCGACACTCAGGTCTTTGTCTCCAAAAAGGTGTTGACATCATTGCCAGAAGTGTCCGATATATACATATAATATGTTTAGAAATGACAGAATCCTTTGCTTTAAATGTGTCTGAACTGTAAATACATGTTAAGTGTAAATAAACTAATATTTTATGTAAAAATATAAATTATTAAAACACTGATAAATATCTTACGCCTGAAGATCGATACTAAACAGCTCTTCGCCGATAACATAGATGCTATAAATATCTGCCTTATGGTTATATTGTTTGCCCAAATGTACTTCAGGTGCCATGTATTTCAAAGTGCCCACACCAAATGTGTGGCCGTATTCGCTGACAGTATGGCTATTTATGTCGTGATTGGTTGCCAAACCAAAGTCACATAACTTTACGATACGATTGGATCTAATGTTGGGATCAATTAGTATATTATCGGGTTTGAGATCCCGATGAATGACAGGGGGTTTGCATTCATGTAAATATTGAACACATTCTAGAATTTCCTTAAATATTTCACATGAAATAAAGTATTCAAAAACATTCATCTCTTCGTCCGGTAGTCTATCGAAGACAATGGGTTTGTCGTTGAGAAGAGAGCGAAGACTTTGAGGAATGAAATCCATTTGAATGAAGAGATGATTGGACTCAAGCCATGAGTTGTAATACTTTACCACAAAATCTGAGTCTAGTTTTGCTAAACTTTTCACTTCATTTAGAATTCTTTGTTTCTTTTCTTCACTAAAAGCTGTGAAAAACTTATTTAATAATCAAATAAAACAATTAGTTATGATATTTACCCCCGAATTGTACTTTTTTAACGGCATATATCTTATCATCCAATCTATGCTTTACTTTAAATACAGTCCCAAAACCACCCGAACCTATGGCTGACATCTCAAGGAATTGGGTTTTATAGTTACCATCATTTGATTTGTTAATATTTTGACTTTTCTTTAGTGATACCAATGTTTTCGCAATTAAACCTTTTTCTAAAATAAATAATTAATTATTTTAGTATATTATTATAAAATAATATAAATCACCATGATCGGAGTAACGAGTGTTTGATACAGTGGGTGTCGATTGTACTGATTGTTTGTGTCCAATAGTAGTTGCATTTGTTGCCAAAGTTTGTTGTTTAGCTTTCAATACACATGTAATATTATATTAACATTTTTTTGTCATTTAATTTTTAAAATAATTATCAGATTAAATTTTATATAATTTTAATTTTTTATAAAACTATTTACCTATCGAATAAGTGCTGTTTATATCGGGCATTGACTGTATTTGCCATCCAATATTTGTTGGGTTTGTAGAGACTGTGTGTTTGTCTATAATTTAAAACATATAAATATTTATTGAACAGCAATATAAATATAATTATAATAAATCTTTTAATTATATTTCATAATTATAAACATGATAACAATTTAGTTAAATTACCACTTGTTTGCGCTGTTATAACACTTCGGCTATGACTGGCCATCGGTTGAATTACTTGTTTATTATCGTTACCATAACTTGACTTATCAGTTAAGTTATGACTATGTTTATTTTTATTGACATTTGCAGTTAGTATTTCTTTTAAATTAATTTCTTTCAAATTAATTGTATTATAAGTTATTTGGTATTCATTGGCGTAAAAGTCGATAAAGCTTTTGTAATTTGTTTCAATAATATTGAAGTCATTTGCAATTTTGTACATTTTATTGTTTATTGCAATAGATATAAAATCGTTACTTATAAATGAATTAAACTGCTCAATACCTTGAATATTATATCCAGCTAGTATTTGTGTGGGAACTTTACAAATGCATAGATTTTTATTATTAAAATATTTGCCACAAAAATACACGATTATATTTGTCGTCAGAAAGTACGTACCAAAAGTACTACAAGCAATTGTTGTCACATTATTTATGCCTGGTACCAATTGGGGTGTCCAAATACAATCATTATGATCGGATAAGGGGTGTCCCAATTGATGGTAACTATTGTCACCCCAACTGAACACATGGCCGTCGGTTGTGATGGCAAACGATGAGTTACCCCAACAATAAATAGACTGTATTTTATATTGTTTAGGGAATTTCAATTTGTATGGCGTATAAACATCTTCCGAATCACCATCCCATAAGTCATATGTTACATTACCAATTTGACGATGATCATTGTCACCCCAGGCATACACGCGGCCATCACGTTTCAGGGCCAGCGTATGTGCCCGCCCGCAACGGATTTGTGCTAGATCTTTATTTTTAAAATATGTCATCGTATGCGGTGTCACACCAATATAATATTGGCGGCCACCTTGAAAACGAACACTGCCAAATAAAAAAATATCATGCTTATCGTTCACCGCCAGCACGACATCAGACCAATTGACAAAGTATTGTATGTTTTGGTGACATAATTGTGGGATTAGTTGTGGCGATAGTATTGGGTCGTTGTGTCCCAAACCCAAACATCCATTTCTATTATTACCCAAACCATAGACCATATCATCGGTTGTAATAAATAATACATTGTATTTATTATCCCAATCAATAAATACGTGTACTTTTGCGATGTTTTCGCGAATATTTGTCGCAATTGTCGCACAAATTGCAAACTTTTCTAATAATTCAGACATTATTCAATTCAATAATTACAATATTTTTGTAAATATTTTCTACAGTTATATTTCACACCAAAACAAATTGATATTATGTTATTTATTTAAAATTAATTAATTATAACACAAAATTTATTTAAAATAGTCAGTAAAGTATTTTATTATAAAGTATCTATGTGGATAAAGAAATATCATTTATATTTATTATGTGAATAGCACTTAAGTTTAACCTTTTGATAGCATATTGTTATAATCAGCAAAAATCATTTTAAACACTGATTAATTGTTATAAATTTATACAACAGGCTTTGGTATTCAATTAACATTTTATTCATATTAGTGATATAAAAATTATAATTAATTTATTTTCCTTAAATAAAGTTTGTTTTTTGCATTATTTTAAATAAAAATAGACTTTTCGAGAATTTTTACAGAAATGTGCTAAAGTTGATAAAAATCTAAAAAATAAAACTTATATTTTTTTTGTTATTACAACACCTATACTAAATAGTATATAATTCCCAATGATTTTGTAAAATATTGGTTCAAATGAAAATTAAGTGGCTTATGCAGCTAAAATTAATGAAATGTTATCATTATTTTAGTTACAATTTCAACATTTTACCAAACAATATTTATTTAATTTCAACCAAAAATATATTTAAATTTTAACTTAATCATTTAATAAAAAATAAAAATTATAACTATAGTATTTGCGCTATTTACAGAAACAAATAATACAAGACTAGAATGTAAAACAATCCAAGTAATGTAAAATATTACCTTACTGTACAAATGCACGCATTTTGAATTCAAGTTATTTTATTTTGTTTTAAAAATTTTATTAAGAATATTCAAAAAATTTTACTAAAATATCCATGCAATTCAAGTAAGTTTTTATCGCCGTCTTTTGTAATTAAATTGTGATAATTTATTCGTCTTTAAATATAAATTATTTTGGCCCCATATATACACGATTTTTATAAGTAAATAAGCTTATGTTAATTATAATTTTAATATGAGCCAGTTAATTATGAATCCAATTATTATAGTACTTATAGCTAGATATATGTGTGAATAATTAGAATTATTATTGTTATAAATAGGCGAAGAATTTTCAGGAGTGTCAGAACAGTTGGACTCATCGGTTATATTTAGTTTACACAATAAAAAGTTGTAGAAAAATGAATTACTATTAGATTTAAAAGTATTTAATACTGTATTCAATTCCGTGTGATTAATAAGAATAGTCTTATCAATGGACCACTCGTTATATTTGGCCAACACTTCCCGACACTCAGGCCTTTGTCGCCAAAAGGGTGTTGACATCATATTAACTAATGCCTGGTATAGACATTGTATTGATGTCTTAAATGCAGATTCATTGGCCACAAATGTTTCCGAACTGTAGAAAAATACATAATAAATGTTTAATAATAATAATGTTTTGATAAACACTTACGCCTGAAGATCGATACCACACAACTTCTGACCGATTAATGAGAGACTATAAATATCTGATAAGTGGTTATAAACACCACTTGAAAGCACTTCGGGTGCCATATATGCTAGTGTGCCCACACCTGATGTATGATCGTATCGGCTGACAGTGTGTCCATCGGTGTTGTGGTCGGTGGCCAAACCAAAGTCACACAGTTTTATAAACCGATTGGCATTAATGTTGAATGAAATTAATATATTGTCGGGTTTGAGATCCCGATGAATGATTGGAGGTTTGGATTCGTGTAAATATTGAACACATTCTAAGATTTCTTTGAATATTTCACACGAAATGAAATATTCAAACACACTATTCATCTCTCCTTCCGGTTGTCTCTCGAAGACAATGGGTTTGTCTTTGAGAACAGATTTAAGATTTTGTGAACAGAACTCCATTTGAATGAAGAGATGATTGGACTCAAGCCATGAGTCATAATATTTAACGACAAAATCTGAATCCAGTTTTACCAAATTTTTTACTTCTCTATAAATTCTTTGTTTCTTTTCATCATTATAATCTATATAAAGTTATAATTTATTTTATGAATTAATTATATAAATAGTTATTATATTTACCCCCGAATTGTACTCTTTTAACGGCATATATCTTATCATCCAATCTATGCTTTACTTTAAATACAATCCCAAAACCACCCGAACCTATGGCTGACATCTCTATGAATTGGGTTTTATAGTTACCATCACTTGAATTGTCATTAATGTTGTCATCACTTTTTGTTTTGCTATTAATTGATGATAAATTTGCATCTGATTTCACAAAATTTGTTTGTTGTTTATCTACAGTAATATTAATAAACAATTATATAATTTAGTAAATACAAAATTATAATTACTTGTTTGAACTGGGCTTTTGTTTTTGCTATTGATGCCGGTAAAGTGTAACAATTTAGCAAAAAATGTGTTATCACTTGAGTTATCATTAATATCATTTAAATTAATTGTATTATAAGTTATTTGATGTTCACTGGTGTAAAAGTCAATATAGTTATTATAATTAGTTTTAATCCATTTGTATTCATTGCCATGATTATAATAATTATCTCCCGTCAAATAAAATCTGATATTTGTTATTTTAAAAATTGTATTTTTAATTAAAACCGTTATAAATTTATTAGCGGTATAAGAAGTGCATGAATTTATTTGTTGTATACTTTGGATGCGATGTTTTGATAGTATTTGTTTCGGAATTATTTCATACATTTCATAGGAATTACTGTAATATTTTCCACAAAAATATAAACCAATTGTTGTCAAAAAGTAAGTACCAAAAAGATTACATGTAATTGAATTTACATTTCTTATGTTAGATATTAATCGTGGTTTATATACTGTTTCAATACTAGTATTATCATCGGTAATATTGTGTCCCAAATGACGGCATCTATTGTCACCCCAACTGAATACATGTCCATCGGTTGTGATGGCAAATGAACAGTCATTATAACAATATACAGATTTTATTAAATAATAATTGAAGTTAATTTCAACAGGTTCTTTACCATAATCTTTATAATTCCACTCTTTTCCCCAACTATTCATACCCCAGGCATACACCCGGCCATCACCGGTGAGGGCCAGTGTGTAATAATCACTACAACTGAGTTGTACAATGTTTTTATCATTTAAATATGTGATCACCTCAGGTTTCAAATATACACCATGAACATTTATCGGTCCTCGTACCAATTGGCCATAATTATTATTTCCAAACCCATATACCATATGTTTATCATTCACTGCTAACACAAAATCACATCCATTGACAAAGTATTGTATGGTTTGATGACATAGTTCTGGTATTTTTTCTGGTGATAGTATAGGAGTGTTGTGTCCAAAACCCAGACATCCATTTGTGTTATGACCCAAACCGTAGACTTCATCATTGGTTGTAATAAATAATACATTATAGGATAATTCACCATTATCCTGGATACTATTAAAAACGTGTAATTTACTAATAGTATCTCTAATATTTATTGGAATTAAATAACAAAAATGAAACTTCTCTAAATAATTAGACATTTTGAGAATGATTGTGAACTTATTTAAAAGTAATTATAACATTAACTAAACAAAATTAATTTACAAATTACTTGTTGCAAATTAATACGTTTTAACAATATACAATTTATAAAATGAATAAAAATATTTCTATATTTTATTAAATATTAGTTTTGATATAACAATGGAGTAAATGTAATACATTAATACTAAAATATATCTTATATTAAAGTATATATTGCGTTAATAACACTTGAATATAACCTTTTGATAGCAAATGTAATAATCAGTAAAAATTATTAAAAACACTGATTAAACAGTAAAGAATGCTAAACAAAATGTGTTGTTAGTGAGATCGAATAAATGTAATGCTAAAAACATACATGTACAATTTGAAGTGTACATAAAGTAAAAGAACTTTTTGACTATTACAGAATAAGTAGAGAGAGAGAGAGAGANAGTGTTTAAAATGATTTTTGCTGATTATAACAATATGCTATCAAAAGGTTAAACTTAAGTGCTATTCACATAATAAATATAAATGATATTTCTTTATCCACATAGATACTTTATAATAAAATACTTTACTGACTATTTTAAATAAATTTTGTGTTATAATTAATTAATTTTAAATAAATAACATAATATCAATTTGTTTTGGTGTGAAATATAACTGTAGAAAATATTTACAAAAATATTGTAATTATTGAATTGAATAATGTCTGAATTATTAGAAAAGTTTGCAATTTGTGCGACAATTGCGACAAATATTCGCGAAAACATCGCAAAAGTACACGTATTTATTGATTGGGATAATAAATACAATGTATTATTTATTACAACCGATGATATGGTCTATGGTTTGGGTAATAATAGAAATGGATGTTTGGGTTTGGGACACAACGACCCAATACTATCGCCACAACTAATCCCACAATTATGTCATCAAAACATACAATACTTTGTCAATGGATTGGACTTTGCGTTAGCAGTGAATAATATGAATATTATATATGGATTTGGCAAAAATGAGTTTGGTCAGTTGGGCCTGGGTGGAACGAGTTGGTACTATGCGAAACCAGCTAAAACGTGTGTCGATATTGAAAACATGATACAAATCAGTTGCGGCTATTATCATACACTGGCACTTACTAGCGATGGATGTGTATATGGTTGGGGTCATAATAATTATGGTCAACTTGGTAATAAAATAACAAATAGAATGTCAAGTACTCAATATCAAGAAACACCGTTTGAATTGCATTTTAATAATAATTATAAAATCAAGTTCATTTATTGTTATCGTTACACATCGTTTGCCATCACAATCGATGGGTATGTCTTAAGTTGGGGCGACAATAGTAGTCATAGATTAGGACATAATCTAACCGATGAAAAACTATATATACCGGGAATGATAGCAGTCTTGGATAATGTGAAAGCAATTAGTTGTAGTAATTTTGGGACATATTTTCTGACAACAAATGATTTATATTTTTGTGGAAAATATTACGAAAACAATAAAGAAATTATTGTTAAAACACCGAAACAAATAATATCTGAACACGTATTCACAGATTTACGGCAATTTAATTCACATATTACACATAATAATGATTTTATTTGTGTTTTGATAAACGATAAAATATTTAAAATATCAAAAGAACACAAAATAAGTGAAACAAATTATAATACTTTTATCGACTTTTACGTCAATGAATGCCAAATTAGTTATAATACAATAACTATGGGAACAACTATTAATCAAGCTAAAAATGAAAGCATAAATAATATTGATAATAATTTGGTGGATAAACTTGATGCATTGTTATTGAAAGTGGATAAAAGCAGAGTTAATTGCATTGAATATGTTTCAGATAAATCAAATAATGGTAACTATAAAACCCAATTCATAGAGATGTCAGCCATAGGTTCGGGTGGTTTTGGGACTGTAT